GCTGCCCCCCCGGGCGGGCTGACCCGCCGCCGGAGGGAGGGGCCCCCTTAGCGCTGCCGCGGGGCTCGGGGAACGCTCCCGCCGCTGCTCACATGCCGCCGGGCGCCGTGGCCACCCGCTCTCCCGCCTGTAGTCCCCGTACTAACGACGGCGGCGGCGGCCGCAGCAGCAGCAGCATCCCCGCTACCAGCGAGCAGAGTCACCTCCGCGCTGCGGCCAGCCGGGCTCGGCCCCGCCGCTCCCGCTTCGCCCCGCACCGGGAGGAGCCGCCCCGCACCGGGAGGAGCCGCCCCGCACCGGGAGGAGTCGCGCGGGCGCTGCGGCGGTTGTGGCGCGCGCGAGCCCCGGCGCGGCGGCGGCACTGCGGGACTGCAGCGGGCGCGCGCCCTTGCCCCGCCCCCGCGAGCCCCGCGGGCCAATGGGGGGCGAGGGCGAAGCGAGCCCGCGGCCGCCGATTGGCTGTTGCGCGCGCGAGCGTTGGTATCAGCGGGTTGCGGGAAGGGGGCAGGGAGCTGGTGAGGCGGCTCGGCCGGGCCCCGCGTCCCGGCCCGCTCTGCTCGCCAGGCGCTCCCGCTGTGGCCGGCCGGCCGGCGTGGGTACCTTTTCCGTGTCCAGTCACCTCGGCCTTGCGCAGAGCACGGCGGGTCCGGGTTCCTGCCCCGCCCGTGCCCACTTTCCAGCGCTGGTGCCTGTTCTTCCCCTTCCTTCCTAAGCCGGCGCTGTGGCTGTGACACGGGTGGATGTCCTTGTGCTTCCAGCTGTTTTAATACAGAGCAGTTGGGAACGGGCGTCAGGGCTGGCAGCTTCTCTCATAAGAGGAGAGTCTGCGAGCTGGGCCTGCATAGTCTAGAGACGAGGTCTGAGAGGAGAAGTGATTAGTGCATAAAAACATCTCAAGGGTGGCTGTCAAGAGAATGGTGCCAGACTCTTCCCGGTGGTGCCCAGCGACAGGACAAGGAGTAATGGCCATAAACTAAAACACAAGCGTCACCTCAACATGTAAAGGGGAAGAACGTCTTTAAACTGAGGGTGGCCAAGCACTGGAACAGGTGCCCAGGGAGGTCGTGGGATCTTCCTCTCCAGAGACTATTTTTAAAACCACCAGGATGCAGTCCTGTGTAGCCTGCTCTAGGTGACCCTGGCTCGGAAGACGGTCTCTCCCAGCACCAACAATGATTTGATTCCCTCTTTCTGTGAACCAGCAGTTCTCCATAAAGCAGAATAGGAAGCATTGCCTGAAGGTTTGGCTACACTTGTGCTTTAGGATTTGCTGAATTTAAATGTGAAGATCAACACACTTTATTACCAGTTCACTCCCAAGGCCATTGCTTTAAAAAGGTATTTTTTAAAAGTTGGCAAGAGAAGCTCCATATCTATTAGCTGCTTTTTCTTGCTTTGGCAATGAACTTGGCTGCCACAAGTTGCTGGGTGATAGGGTTAAGCCAGTAATCTCTCTGTTCCTCTGGAGAATGCTGTCATGGATAGATGTGTGCTGAGGGGTTGGCAGCAGTCCAGATCATGCCTGGGCACACTTGATGTGGCAGCAGGATCTATTTACACAAGAATCCAGGTCTGTGTTGTTAGTGTGTGTGGAGTTTAGTCAGACACAGGGCAAAAAGAATGGAGATACAGAATTGTCCCACTCCTGCAATACAATTTTGTCTCAGTCACTATACTTGAACTATGGTTTTTATGCAATAGATATTACTAATAGCTTCATTTTGTTTCGGTAATCATCAAAGAGTCATAGAATCATTTGGGTTAGAAGGGACCTTAAAGATCATCTAGTTTCAACCACCCTGGCATGGGCAGAGACACCTTTCACCAGACCAGGTTGCTCAGAGCCCCATCCAGCCTGGCCTTGACTACCCCCAACAAAAGAGCATTCACAACTTCACAACTTCACTTGTGGTCAAGTAGTGTTTATCCTTTAGACTGACAGGGCAACCTTATCACTTCCTTCAGTCACAAGCAAATTGCTTCCAAACACTCTGCAGGCTAGCATATCAGTATTTTTTAACCACAGATGTAAAAGGTTTGAGTCAGTTGACATGTAAACGTCAGGGCTAGAAATACAAAATGATTGGTTAATCAGTGAAGTAGTGATGCAAATAACTGATAGTAAAATAAATGCTTACTTAGTCAAAATCTTGCTGGATGTTGAACATTTATTTGTACAGTGGAGCATAGTACACACAATAACAATCTATAGCCACATCATGGGTTTCCCTGATTATCACTTTGATGCAGAGCACAGACAAGGATTTTCCAGTAAGGGTTTTCATAAGAGAGAGAGAAATTCTTTCAGCTCTGAAACAGAGACTTGTCAGTTATATTTTGATGGATGTTATTGCAGTGGGTATCTGTGCAGGTTTTGGCTGGGCTGGAGTTAATTTTCTTCACAGTGGCTCATACGGGAATATGTTTTGGATTTGTGCTGAACACAGGATGTATAATACAGATACATATTTGTTACTGCTGAGCAGGGCTTGCACAGAGCCAAAGCCTTTTCTACTTTTCATACTGCCACCATGGTGAGGGGACTGGGGGTACATGGGAGGTTGGGAGGAGAGAGCTGGGACAGGTGACCCCAAGTGACCAAAGGGATATTTCAGACCATATACAAAGTTGAGGGAAAAAGAAGGAAGTGAGGGGCATTTGGACTGAAGGTGCTTGTATTCCAGAGTAACCTTTACAAAACGGAGCCCTTCTGTCCTGGAGATGACTGAATACCTGCCTGCCCATGGGGGAGCATGAGCGAGCACATGTGTGGGGCTTGGTGGCTGACTGGGCTTTAAGCACAGTATCAGATAGAGGGATAGATTGTGTGATGTATTTTGTCACAAAATTGTTTCTGAATTTCCAGTAACAGCTATGTAACTTGATATATATATCATTTATTTTATTGAGCAGAGTGCAAAACTAGCCATAGGAATACAACAATGAACTGTTATTTACATATATTATTTAAAGTTGAAGCTTTAGCTGACAGTAATATAGGACATGAACTTGGGTTTATGAAGCAAAAACGTGCTGTATCTTTATGTCTTGTTGCTATTTCACATTAAAGTAAAATTTATTTTATATGTGATGTGGCATTATTGCTGCTTTATTTTTACGTATTAAAGCTACGGTTTTACTCTGCTAACTGGAATAATTGAGTATTAATTGGCATATGATTCCCACATTCCACTTTTATTAGATTTTTTTGATACTGTTTTAGATCTGTTTCTATGCTGTAAACATAGGGAAGGACATTAGAAGATCAATATGATGACAACTCACAGAATCTTGTCAGATACAGGAGTGAGATCCATGGTACAAGAAATCTTAAGACTGGCCCTAACTTTTGTTGGAGGAACATTAAGTAGTGTCCTACACAGCACTGTCTCTGCATTAGTAAAGGCAAATGCTGTGTCTCCAGCTCAACATTAATTTTGGTTTGATTACTTACACTTTTGTAAGAGTTTAAGAGACTAATGTGATGAGCATGAGACAACCTGTGGAGCAGTATATTATATAGAAATGTTTGTGGAAGCATAAAAAAATAGAATTTGGAAGATAGATGTGTCATGTTTAATTGAATCTCCAGCAGCAGGACACTGCAGGAGCAGCAGCATAGCTCACAGTTGTGGTAGATGACTTCATTCAGTTGTCTGCTCTGATCATAATACTTGAAGCCTCTTCTTTAAATATTACTTTCTTAAGTAAAAAGATGACTACACAATATGTAGATCACTTATTTGAATAACTAACAGTATTGCACTTCACCTACCATTTTAAGAAGAGGAAATTCCATTGGATGTGTATTGCTCTGCTGTGTTTCCTCTTGCAATGGAATTTCTTCAGAAAGTTCTTAAACAATTATAGGCTATTCTGGCAGAAAATGAGGACTCCTTCCTCATTCCTATTTTCAATCTAAGCATCCAAACATTAATTTTCTATGGATCAGGACACAAAATCAAACAAGATCTCATCAGAGCAACAGCTGCAAAACCACCAATGTCTCCAAAGCTGCTATAAAAAACATATCTGTCAGTCATTTCAAAAGTTCATCTATTTCATGAAGTCAAACAAATGCTGCCATAGAAACTGCATATGCAAGATTACCAGGTTTTCCATACTGCGTAGTCACAATTGTGCATGATGATGTTCTGTTAACAAAACCAAGGCACTGATCTTTTGGAGAAAAGTAACAGCTTTTTTTTTTGCTTTTTATTTTTTTGGATAGGGGAGGAGGGAAAGGTTTAATGATTTTTTTATCCATTTGAAAGAGTGACACCTCACACCATTGTGGCTTCATAACTGTGCACATAGGGTGCTGTAAGACAACAGGCAGGAAGGAATGCCAGAAGACCTTGAGGGAAGCAAAAGTATCTTACACCACTGTCATCATCAAGTCTAAGAACTGAGCTTGATACCAGCATCGCTGAAAGTGACAGAGACTATCCAAGGAGGTAGAGAATGGTGTATTGCTTAGATCATTTGTTAGAGCTGGCTGTTAAAAGAGTGCACATAAGAATGTGCTGCCTATGTAATATCCAGTTTTGTAGTCTGCAATACTAAATTAAAATCTCACATTTTGTTCCCCAGGTCATCTACTGCCACATGTTCATATTAATTCTTATTGCTTGTACACTGTCTTTGAATCAGCTGTAGTAAACTCTTGTTTAACTAGCTGTTTTTTCTCTTCAATAATGATCTGTCTCGAGTTTGTCTCTCCTTCAATCAATATTCCTACACACATTGCCAAGTTTCACCTGGCTGCCTCCATAGTCTGTATATTTCAGGCAGAAAGACTGCTTGTTTTTGTTACAATTTTTGTAATTTATCTGTTTAAAACACTTTTTATCAATAAAGTACTAAAGTACCTTACCAATCTTGAAAATCTGCATTTTTTTCTTTTCTACTCCAAGTAAATCATTAACACCAACATC